TATATATATATATTCCAGGTCGAATAAGTATAATAGTAATATGCCACAGCAACCACGCGTGGAGGGTGATGAGGTTGAGAACTGAACATCACAGAAGTAACAGTCGGGATTGAATTGGGTGATCTCATCTGCAAGAAAAGTGGTTACTGGCCTGGCAAGTCTAAATGTGGCAAAACACGTGCAGGGTGTGAATACGTAGCATGATCAAATCCGTTATCTTGATAACTGATCCAATTACTGCATTGTCTGGTTATCCACTGATCAATCGAAACTCGACTATCGGGCAAGTATCACCTAATCTACTTGCCCAGTCTGACAGTTGACTTGCAAACTTCTCGTCACTATGCGAGTAGAAATCAGCAGTGCGCGCACTCACGAACTGACCAACCTCCACTTCACGCACCGAGCTACCAATATTTCGGCCGAGACTCTGCTAAGGCTTGTTTCACTCTGGCTGATGACTTACGAAATTCGGTTTGCCAATCTCAATAGTTTGATGCTGAGCTAATTTGTTTCGTGTCGTTGATTTATCTGGTAATTTTACCCAAACCGAATGTAAGTAGATCGATCATGTTCCCTTTGGACCGAGCGATCCAGTTTGATTTATGAGTGGGTTTTATTGGGACATTCCTTATTTTCATCGACAGTGTAGCCTCGCCGATGGATTCCCAGTGAACTGCGGACTTCCTTACGCATGCAAAGGTTTAGCCCCCCGACTGTCCGCTCTACCGTCAGTTGCCATCACTTCTGAATGTCACGTTTTTGTTTTCACACTACTGTCGTATATTTCAGTAGCAGTAAACGATTTTCTCTTGTCTTCTCTTCCCAGCCGAAGTTGCTCAAGCAGCTGAGCAAGGTGCTCGTCGGTAAGACTAAACCTCTATCGAGCCACACAGAGAATACAGCTAACTAGAGTGCTATTTTTCTTGCTATGACTTTTTTTCAGTCCGACGCCTTGTACCTGTTAGCCTTGATATTTTCGAATTCTTGTACTTTTCCCCAACCTGACTCCATCGCTTCTATTTTGTATCATGACCCCGGCCGATTAGGGCCCAACAGCGTGTACCCATTCATTTGTGTATATTTTTCGTGCTGGTAGTAATATTCTTGTGCTGTCTTTCTGCCACCTGTATCGTTGTTTTTGCTGCGAGCCTCAGACGGCAGCGATGCAATCGTTGAACCGTCGGTGTTTTGCTGTCGTGTAACCATAATGTATTTGAAAAAAGCCTTATTGCGAAATAAATAACAGAAGCAGCATACTGAATTACCTACTTTTACAGACACTCAAAGGCTGACTTCACTGACACTTATGTGTAGCCATATCTCCAACCATGTTGGGGGCCACGTAGACCTACAAAACCGACCGGACAGATACTACTCGAATTTTTCGCGCTCATTCTTCCGCTCAAGCTGGGTTGGAGGTTCGTTGCCTCTGTGTGGGATGCTCTTAACCAGGTGCCTCGGCTTATCCCGCTGACTACATTTTTCACTTGCAGTACTGTTACCTGAGTCAACGTTCATCTTCCAAGCGTCTGCTTGTGAATTCATTTATGTGCAGTAATTCTGGGATATCGGTTTTCAGCTATCCGAAAGCGTCCCGGTTCCTATGCTCGCAGTGACTGTTTTTCTGAACCACAGCCTTGTACTGTAGCTTGATATACAAAACTCCTGAGGTGAACAAAAACATCTATTGTCTTACTTTACGCCATGCGTCTTCCAAAGTCAAATGTCGGGCCTGGTGTTTTCGCTGCCTGGATAGTCATGATTTGGCATTGGCAATCGTCAGGTAGACGCCGAGTGTTCAGTAGACAGGACTACATCCGAATTTGGTTAGCACAAGCACGCATAACTAAGAGAAGGTAATAATGGTACAATATGCTCCAAATGGCCATCGAGTACACTTTGAGGCGTGATGGGTGTTATTTTCTCTAATGTTGATAGATATGTACCTTTACCCCATGTTTTTAGATTTTTTGTAGGCAGGCCGATTGCGGCAGGGGGCTCTCGTTTGAAACACCACACGGTGTTAGTACCGCGTGGTCTGTCATTGTCTTTTCCCGGGTTCGATGGGTGCGTGGGAGTCATTGAGGGAGTGGCAGTTTGTTGTGTAGACTATTGTGGTCCCCATTAGCTTGGTGGTGTAATAATTTCCACTTTCGTTCCGTCTACATTACTCCGCAAATGTGTGCGAAGAAGCTGTCACCTTGTAGTACAAGGTAGGACAGTTCACCACTTTCTCGGATCTGGCACCCGCCGTGACCGTGAATCTGAGTGAAACCTACTTCATCTGTCCAGGCAACTTCTCCGCCACATTGCTGCCCAGCAAACTTACTTTTTTCGACCGAGACCGCCTGCGCTTTTATAATCACCGGTGGAAGTGACCTGTCACTCGATAAGTTACCGCACCTTAGTTCGCCTTCTCTGACTAGAAAGATTTCCTGTTGTCTGCGCACCATTGGGTTTCCTCAGTTGATATAGCTACAGCTCGCACGTGAGGCGGATGTCACTGACGTCGGTATTGCTTCAATTGTATCGCTTTACATTGGGATTGCATATGTGACCTGTTCGTCTCATTCATCCATAGTTCTGTGCGGGTTGTACAGGAAATAGCAACTGTGATGAATATGCTCTCACAGGAGAGGGCCCAGGATCATTTGAACAAACACTCAGTTCCCAACAATGCTGGTGATTATGCTAATGGGTACAAACTTTGATTTGGTTATTTATTCCTAATTCCGCCCAACCTTTTCATTTATCCAATGAAACTAACGCGGTCGTTTGTCTTTGTTTCTCAATATGGCGAAATTACAATAAAATAAAAATGAAACGTCAGAACTTCCCTTCTAAACAGATATAGGCGGACAGTGCAATGATGTGACATCAGAGTGCGGCTGCGGTTTTCAGTGAGCGAACCGCCATCCAAACGAATTATGTTGAGGAGACCTATTTAGGCGTATGGAACCTTGACCGGCTAACGCACCTAACGTCTCCAGAGGAGACTGCTACTTTTGAAGAATGCTAGTTAGAAATGCAAACCCATTCCGGAAGCAGGAAACATTTTATTTATTGATGAAAGTCAGTGTCACATATACAGTTGTACTTAAAACATACTTTGTCCGTACAGAGGCCACTTAGAACCGAGCCTGTGATCTACCATTGTGTTCCTGTAAAAGGGAACAAAAGTCCGGAAGTTGCCCCTACCACTTCCCAACAGAGATCGTATCAAAAAGCACAAAGATTACTTGTATCGCGGGATTCGTGCATTGCTGTTTTGAGTCAGGTTGTTCGAAAGCCAAATTTAGTCTCGTAGTTTACGTCCAACAAGCATTTTTGTTACTAAAAAAGAGTTTTTGGCGCAGAGACTTACGGTACTCGGAAATAATTGCGTGATCTGCGTATTTTAGCCAAACATGGTGTTGGCAACAGTAAGCTGGCTTCGGTGCATCGATGTGTCCATTTGCTCCGCATCCTCCTAGCCGCATGATCTTGCTGTACCGGCCCATGTGTTTAGACAATCTTGTTGGGACAGAAGGATAACGTGTAGCTCAGTCAAAAAACATTGTTCCCGAAATACCGCTCCGCTACTGGTAAAATAATAAAGGTAACCAGTAAAGGGTGTAAAACACCGTTTAAAACAAATAAAGCAACGGGAGTTTCCGCGGTGGTGTCTACTTTTATTCCTTCCGATCGAGGTGAGCTTAAAGGTGTGCAGAAAAGCATCGAAGAAGGTGACATTTGCCCGTCCAACTTTGTGAAAGAATCGTTAGATGGGTACACTTCACTATAGGTCATTTGGAGATACGGTCTCTTTTGGAGAGCATCGACTGCGATGGAACCAAACTTTGTCTCTTAGATGTGAACATTCTGTACATTCGTATTCCGCTGCTACTATGATCTCAAACGTAAACGGGAACTGTTTCCCAAACTTTGTCCACGTAACTTCCCGTCCTTCTGGATTCGCTTTAACTCAATTTACAGTCGAAACTTGTTCCACTACAATCCCCAACCGTGCTCATTCACGTACCCGCTCATTCTTGCTAGGTTGACACCGGAGCTCCTGGAGAAAAGCATCTCGGCTATTCCTGTCTCGTCAGGCTGACTATGATGAGTATGGATATCCGAAAGTGTCTAAACGGAATATCTGCACACTCCTGTCAAATCCCTCAAAATATGGGCTCAAATCTAATCACTTAAACTTAGACTGTTTTTTGAGCGTGCCGTCTGATAGTGGAAACATCGAAATTGTGCTATTTGGTAGGGCTACTGACCCCCTATATAGGTTACCAAAACCAGTCTTTCAGCTCTTAATGGCAAAATGTCGTAGGAATAAAAGCAATTCTCATTCGGCCACACTCCAAATGGACATCCATACTCAATCCAGCGTATCACAATAGAAGAGTAGGTAAATTAAACACGATTCACCCCTGTCCGGCTAATGATATCAAAATCGCTTTGAAGCACCAAATGCATATATATAATATATATATATATATATATATATATGTCCAGTTTATCGGATTTTATCACTCTCAGGGTGGTGAAGCAACAGAACGTGTCGCTCGTCAACAGTCCAACGGGGGTCAGGTAAATAAACAGCTCAGCGTTTATTTGTGAAAAATTTGAATGCCTCACTTATATGGGTATATAGATTTGCGAACCAAACGTACCGATCGGGAGAAATCGACTCCTGCCTTACTCTGCGGGGGGTTTTCGCATCAAGATTGCTGCAAAAAAATGAACAGAGTGGCGCGTATCGTAGTCCAATGAAGGCCATTTAATCGTCTAGGAATCGCAAGGCGTCACTAGTGGTGTGTTGCAACGGGCCGCGTGATATATTGTCATCGGTGGGCCCCCTGGATGCGTCCAACTAGGTGCATAGTCCAAGGACGTTTTCTAACGGAGGATGAAGTCGACAACGTTCTCGGTTACCCAACCCATCATTTCGCCTAGAATTCCGTCACTCACACACACCCACTTCCTCGCCTAATAATGAAAAGTGAGCGCATGCGTAGATCCACCAAAGCCTGTGGTGCGTTGGAATTTCCAACGCACTAGTGCAGGCGCAATAATCTATATCCACATGAAAGTATCCTACGCATTCGTTTCACCTGATTTCAAGCCCATTATCTGTGACTCGCCATGGTAGGTCACGCTGGTTGGTTTGGAACGAGCCTTGGAGACGATTCAAGTTGACTTGTGTTGCTTCTCAGATTCGCGTCTGTATAAAAGCAACACAAATACTTACCTGGCCCCTTCGTCCAGTTCTGCAACTAAATTCCAATTGAATACTTTCGAAGACCTCGCTGCGGCAAGTCAAGTGAGGGCTGGAGTTGTTCGAATAATTGACCTGAAGCTGCTCTATTAGGCTGGATTCCAGTGCACAGGGGATTCAGTGAATCATGCACAGCAAGCAAAGCGTGCCCCAAAGATCCTGCTTTGTTTGCCTACCGATTGCAGATCCGAAAAATGCGAGATGATTTCTACCATTCTCCGTAAGTTTTGTTCCGTCGAGGATTATCAGACGAAGTGATTTTATGCGTAGGGCGCTTAGCGTTAGACTAGATCTCTCTCTCTCTTTCCTATGGCACCGTTCAATCACACAATAGAAGCAGGCTTCTTGGCTGGTGCCTAGTCCTAACTTCTGGCATTCGAGAACCCCGCCCGCTTTCTGGCGTCCTCCGCCATTAATGTAGGTATGATCTCACGACGCAATTAGTAGTAGAAGGCAGTCTTTTGCCGAAAATTACCGCTCCTTATAGCTGACTCCAATCGAACTCTGTTAGTGGCAATTTTCGCTGTGGTTCAGTGGATATGCAGAAGTGACTGCTACCAAGCATGACTGGAAAAGGATTTGGACCAACCTTGGGTACAGATAAAATCTGCCATTCATTTTGCTGGCAAAACGCATTGGATTTCTACGCATTTTTTTCCAGTTACTCTACACGCGTAATGGACTGCCGGTAGGTTGCACGCACAACGATGCATTTCTGGTTTTGAAACAGAATATCAAGTGGAGCATAAGAGTTGCATGAGCTTATGCCTCAGGTAGAAGTCGCTGCTTCATCCACACACTTTCGGATGGCATCACCACGTGAGTAGATAAGAGGTGCGTCGGGGGGTGCTTGTCTCTTTAGGATCCACCATTTCCAACCATCGATTCCGCTAATGGGGGAGTGGGTATGCCCTGTGTCACCTGCGTCCACTGTATGGCGATGTGACCAATGACGCGACAATGGAATATTAAAGGCTTGACTACTATTGTCCACTTTTGGCTGGTTCCCGAATTACCCTGAAGCGACTTGGTCATAAATAGAGACATTTGTCAGTGCGCTGGGTTTGATGTATAGCCCCGCTTCCTGTCGAAAAGTTTTGGATGCCTAGAGCACTGATGAAAAAATGTCTACAGTTGTATACTATTCTGCAATCTTTCTGCATAAATTTAGAACATTTTTGGGACTTTATTGATGTGCGGATCACTGTCCTACCTCTCCCTGCTCAACATAAAAGCCAGGACTGTGCGGTAAGGTATTGCATTCAATGAGAGTTTTAGAGCGGGTGAATAGTGCTTGAGAGTGCTGCCGCACAAACCAAATGCTGTTAGTCCCCTACAGTCTAACCTCCTATGTTTGCAGGCCTGACAAATGACTAAGTTAGCTCTACGTTTATGTTGATCATGTTCCTTCCGTGATGAATAAGTCATAGAACGGTCAATCAAGCAAGTCACAGCGAACACTAAATGATGTCAAACTTATTCTAAGACTAGGGGAAATATGTCAAAATGAATAGTTTTGCCTCGGTTAGCGAGAGTATCATACTCCAGACAGGCTCAAATGCAGTGTGCTGTGGAACACATGAGGTGTGACATCTCTGGAAATTTACTGTTGCTTTACCGAGCCTTCATTTGTTATACACGGATAGCTTTGACCGGGCCTCTATTGAGGCACCGATTCCTGAGGCTATCGCAAGCGAGTGGTTGTTGATGTATGTTATCATTTTGCAAGTTCCGCGCGATCTGTGTGTTGTTGTGAGAATGGTTGGGTTGTCTATGGGATTAACGAAATATTGACTGTTCACCCGAGTGTTCCGAGAAGTGGACTACTTCTATTTCTACCCGTTTCTTCGCACAGTTCTGTTGTGAACTTCAACTGGGGCTTACTACAAGATGATCCTACACTGCACAGTCGGAAAGGAATCAATTTCAGCTGCATTTTATCTGAAGCCGAGCGTATTTTTAAACTGCAGTTCGAATTCGGCTCTTTTTCAAGCACACTAACATCTCAATAATTGTTGATGCATGGTATCGCACTATCAATAACATCAGCGGCTACTGCCTTGGAGTGGTTGGCACTGGAATCCTTTTCTAACTTGTCTCGGACGAAGCAGCTGGTGTACCGGGGGATTCTTCTAACGAACGGTTTTGGTAGAATTTTCAGAGCCCCATTTTCGGCTTCGTCAAGACGCCAGCGCACCAGAGTTGTTGGAGAGGAACACTGACCTTACTAGGCGTGATTGCGCGTCTCCAGTGCGTATTGTACGACTCTTCTAGTCGCTTTTCAATAATTTTTTTCAAGTCTGTTCTCATTCTGGAGCCATGCACTGACTGGTTTATGTAGAGTTTCGAAGTTCTAGGGTGGCTTGGATGAGAGCGACGAGCGAAGAAACTATTAGTTGCTTGAATATTGTCATTGTAGGAAACAACTATCCGCAGTTCTGTTCGTTTACCATTTTATTCCTAATTATGCAACAATCCATACCTCTGGCCCCAAATTGTGTTCAGTATTTCCTTTGCTCCCTGTAGCGCTTCCGTCCACCCCGAGAGACAGGCTCATATTAAATTCAGAACCGGATAACTCTCTTCTGGGTTGCGAATTTCCAGTAGACCGCTCGCCACTGGAACTGAAGGACATGTATCTCATTAGAATAAGTTATCACCTCTGCTGGTCACTGGGCTACCATCACCTAGGACTTGGAGATAACATACATGCTCGCGTGTATGTTTGTATGTGTGTGTATGTGTACAGTGTGCAGTTGTGGCCACCTAATGTGACACTCCCCTACCTGGCTGGTCATGTGGGACGCGGCCATGACGGAAGGCTCAGGATGTTTAGCATAACTGTCGGCGACGGACGACACGGGGTACGAACAGCGATATGCCTACTTTACCAACCACTCACTCACTCACTATCCGGACCTGCTTTCAGTTGTGATTTTCATCTACATTCCACACTAAGGACACACGGGCACACAACAGTCAAGCAACACCACGTAGTCTTTGTACAGACCAACAAAAGTCTTTTATCATGGTCTTGCCTAATACACGAGGCTAGTCCGTAAACAGACATGCAGCCGTAGTCCGTCAGGTTTGGCTGACCCGGGTAGGTCTTCTGTGGTATGTCCTAACGGTTCCGCGTCCGGTCTCTAAGGTCTGGGTACAAGCCAACTACCAAACAAAGGCGAGTCAACTGAAAACCCATCAACGCAATGTGAGTGAAGTTTCCAACCCACGCAGAATATCGACACCGTAGTTTGTGACTATCTCATATAAGGTGGTGTCCAATTTGTTTGCACTTTTAACATAGTTTAACGTAGAAACATCAAATACTGTTAAAACCTGAGTCTGTGCTACTCAAATAACACCTACTGAATGCAGTGGCACTAGGACTCAAACCTCCATGCTCTACTTCCTACTTCCCTGCTTCCACAGCCAAATGTATCAGTCCGCTGAGTCCTCGGCCTCAGTTACTTTCCCACTGGTCACACTGCTGAGTCAGGGGCTACAGGGAGCAATCCGGAACAAAACCCTACCTACTTTGACTGTCTTTCGGGTTAGATAATTGAATCTGTTCCTGTACGATCCGGTCTATTTGTAACTCCATAGACCCAATATTCATTCCTTGCCCTCTGGTCAGAATACAGAGGACTAAAAGTGCGCTACTAACACCAACGTATTGGCGCCTGATCTTTGTCAAATGGGACAAGACACCCACTCTGCTCATACGTCTTCCTTTTCAAAAATCCCCATTTTGTACATCCGAAACACGTACACAAGGCCCTCCTAAAATGACGCATCGCAGTATCTCGGATTCCTCATCTTTCTAC